ACTCACCTGAGGCAAAGTGATTATTCATTTAGGAATCAATTATCGTCATCCATAAATTATTATATTTCTACATTTTAATTATTATTATTTTGGATATAGGGTCTTACTCTGCTTGCACCAAGCTGGAGTGCAGTTGGCGTCGCATACATAGTCTCACTACAGCCTCCAAACTCGTGGGCTCAAGCGATCCTCCTGCCTCAGGTTCTCCCGAGTAGCCGGGACTACAGGTGTACACCACGTGTGCCTGGATGATTATTTAAATTTATTGAGAAGAAGGGCAGGATAATTTTATTACGTGAGCTTTGAATCTTATTAATAACACCTAAAATTTAAATCAGCTGGGACAAAGTAACAGAGAGGGCTTGGCAAGTATCCCTCTTATGTATATTTTCCAAGAAATTTCCCATTGGCTGGTTAGGAATTTACCTGTTTTCAGCTTTGTTTCTAGTTGTCCAAAGCGAATAGGAGGTTGGTCTGAATACCGAGTTTGCTGTTGACTGGTAACGGGAATTCACCCTTCCGAGTTATTATTAATATATTGCCAGTCCTTAGTACTGTCACTGTGTTACTTACAGGCCTTGGGCTACAGGTACTTTTTGTTCCTCAATTATGAAATGAGGTCAATAACACCGGCTCACTTGCCTCGGGGTATCCTACTGTAGAGCCCAACGGGATGAGCTGCCTGGAAACCTGGAGGCCAGCCATAATGCTAGTGCACTGGGCCCGTTGTCGCTACTCATCGTCAATTTCCACAGGCATGCTGAACCCTGGAGGAGCGCCGTTAATAAAAAACAAACCCTGGGTGTGACCGCCAAAGCGTTCCCACCATCCCTTCTGTGTCGCCCCCAAGCAGCGCCCGGATGGCCCTGTTCTCACTGGCAGCCAAGTCTTAAACCTGGACAGTCAGGTGAGTTGTTTTTTTTTTCACTTTTTCTCACTTCTTTTTCCACATAATTGCACTGTCGGCGAAGCTTCCTGGGTTTTTGGTGTCTAATAACTTTGCGTGCGTTAGCCTGTCGCGTGCAGCAGCGGAGGAGCCTGACCCGGTGAGAGAACACCTCCAAGCCCCCCCGACGGTCTCCCCGAGCAGCCAGCCGCCAGCGGCAGACGCCCCGGGCTGGCGCCTGGGCTCCGCGGCCCTGGGCCCTCAGCGCCCTGGCCCTCGCGCGCCTGGGCCTCGCGCGCCGTGGCCTCGCGCGCCTGGGCCTCGACGCGCCTGGGCCTGTGTGCGCCTGGGCCTCGCGCGCCTGGCCTCTGTGCGCCTGGCCTCCGCGGCCTGGGCCTCCCTGGCCCAGTGCGCTCGCTGCTTGCGTCCGCCGCGCAGCGGCGACGCGATCTGTGGTGGTGTGGGCCGGGACAGTCCCCGGCTGCTGCGCTTGAGGCAGCAGCATGCACCGGACAGGGTGGCGGAAACGCTCTTGCTCAGGCTGGTTTCAAACTCCTGACCTCGAGCAATCCGCCCGCCTCGGCCTCCCAGAGTGCTAGGATGACAGGCGTGAGCCACCGCGCCCGGCCTAGCTATTCTCTTTTAATAAAAGTCCCATGGCCAAAGCCACTATTACCCCTTAGTCTCATTTTCCCCCTCTTCCTCGCAATGCCGGACCCCAGCCTGCACCCTGGCTGCCCAGATGGAGACCATATTCCCAGACCCCTCTGCAGTTAGGAGTGGCCCCTGACCAAGTTCCCACCAATGACAATGAGAAGACCTGATGTGTCTGACTCCCACATCACTTCCCCCTCAGAAGGAAATTGCCTACCCTACTTCCTCTGTCTCTTTCCTCGCTCACACAGGCTGGTGACGAGATAGAAAGCACCTGGCTACTGCGAGCCCGCAACGCATCTAACCCCAACCACAGGCTGCGAGCGCGTGGTGCCCGGTGCGACAGGGAAAGCAGGAGAGACAGTCACAGAGGGACTCTTGTTTCAGTCCTACAGCCAAGCAGCAATTAGAGTTTGTCATTTGTTTTTAATTTTTAAATAAGTATTATTAATAGATATGCATGCTTCAAATCTCAAAATATGTAAAAATATATACCATGAGAAGTCTCTCTTCACCCTCAGTTTACCCGCCCAGAACCCAGCCCACACTGGTAACGCAGCCCTCAGGCAAACACTGTTACTAGTTTCGCGTGGATTCTTCAATAATTTGTTTACGTACATACAACTATAGATGCTTAGATTTCCCTCCACTTAAACACTCAACATAATTGTCTCCATTCTGCATTCAACGCTCTATACTGGGACCACCTCTGGGAATCTATACTTAGAAAATAACTGGAAATGTTACTATTTGACCAAAGATATTAATTATAGAACTATTTATAATAGTAAAGAAAAATGGAACCTTAGTGCGCAAAAACGTGAAACTTAGCTAACAAGATTAAATTTGTAAAGAGTGTTCAATGGCATGGGAAAATGCTCATAATTTTATGTGAAATACAAGAATCGGATTAGAGATTGCATGCAAGGCGTTCTCAGCTACATAAAAATAGAGATGAAAGTGTTTGAAAAGCTCCACACCTAAACACTGTCAGTGCTTTATGGCAACTAGCAAACTCGTTTTTTCTTCTGCTTCTCTATTTCCCAAAACGACAACTATGAACTTGTGATTCTTTTATATAACAGAGAAGGGATCGAGGCGGGGAGGGATGGGAACATACCGCCGCCTCCCTGAAGTCCTCTGCTCCTTCCCGTGTAAGGGTGACTCTGAATCTGGAGGCCTGGGGTAGGGGCTGAGTTGCGTTTTCCTTTCCCTGCCTTTCAGACAGAAGCTCCAGGGCCCCGGGCCTTGCTGCTGCCATTTCTTGTGCCCTGGGCAGTGGCGCTCCCTCCTCCTGCGCTGTCCAAGCAGGACGGCGGTCACCTGTGGTGACAGAGGTAGAAGACGCATTCAGGACAGGAGGCCACAAAGCCACTGGGTGGCCTCTCTGCTCAGCCTGCCCAGTGATTTCTGGTCCCATTCCCAGGTCCAGGAAACAACCCTACTGGGTTAAGATGGCTGCTGCATGCTTCATTGTTCCTCTCCTTTCACCCCAAGGATTGAATATCCCCAAACGAGACGCTGCTCTGCCAGCTCCGGTCAATCAAGAAGCTTCTCTGTTCCCACCCTCTCCTCCCCTCCCCCCACCAGCCCACTCTCACCTGTGAGCCCGTCCTCATGCGTCCTCTTCCTCCGACCGGAACCCCCACGTTTTCCCGCCTTTCTTTTAGTTAAGCCAGAATCGTCCAATGCATGGCAGTATCTGGATTTTTCAAAGTCAGTAAGTATTGGTTTTAAAGTCTGTTGAAACAAAAATAACTAGCACCTCAAACTCTTGATTTCTTGGATACTCTTACTTGGGGCAAGGCTAAAACAAGGTTTCAAGTAAAAAAAAAAAGGTAAATCAATTTCAATAAAAATATTATTTCAGTAGATATAGTCTTTATTTAATACGTTTATTATTATCTTTATGTATATATCTTTTTTTTCCCAGCTTCTCCATGGAACCAATCTTTATGTATATATCTTGGTTTATACATCATTTATCTTACCTGGCTATGGCAAACAACTGAAGTTTAAGAAACTGTACATTAGGGTAAAAAAAAATTTTTTTTAACTTTTTTAATACCTACCTGGGAGGGTTGATACCTACCTGGGCAGAGAAGCCCAGAGGGACAGAGCTCCTTAGCGGCCACACGGAACCCCGTCTTCCAGGGACAGAATCCCGGGGCTCTGCCTGAGTCTTCCTGACCTGGTGCTCTCAGAGGCCCAAGGCAGGCGCAGCCCAGGCCTGGTGTTGACCCCTTTGCCCAGAGCGAGGAGCGTGCACGAAACCTTGCAGGCCCAGTGGGAAAAGCCCCACTCAAGGCAGCAGGGCTGGGAGCGAATCCCACACCCTAAAACACCAGACTCCAGCATTTCTAAGAAACTTGCTGAGGTCATGTAGCAAGCACAGCGCTCTGAGACAGAACACACCTTTGAAAACCCTCTCATTTCCTGAAAGACAAGCTGACAAGCCAGATCTCCGCCTCCTCCGTGAGGGGAACAGCAGGAGGGGTGAGATGCAAACAAAGATGACCCAGGGCCTTTAATCTCTCTGCACTTATATTTGGGGCTCTCAGGCACTGGCTGCTTTTCTGGGCTGCCTAAAACGAGGGCCCCTCACAACTCCTCACGTGCAACTTGGGGAGATACATGGGTCGTGGGTCGAGGTGGAGCAGGGATGGTGGGGGCAGGCAAGAGGGTTCCTAGACTTGAAGACTTCAGGGGATTAGGGAGGTGACAGGCATCTTCTCCAGGGACCACTGCCAGCCCTCCACGCGCACCGCCCCCAAGTCCAGGTCTCGCCTTCGCCTGTCACTGCCGAGCAGGGTCTCTCAGTTCAGCACTCTGGGCATTTGCGACAGGGTGGGGGGCGCTGGCAGGTCTGGTCCCCACCAACTGCCACCTTGCCGGGTGTTAGCAGAACAGCAGGTGGGGCCAGGGGAAGGAGCACTTTGCCCACACTGGCATCTGGCAGCATCACGCTGCAGCTTCCACGATATAAATACAGGGAGCGAAAATAGCTAATCCCAGATAACAGCGGCATAATCACCCTGCGCCCGGCCTTGAATCCCAGAGAATTTGGAGGGAGCAGCTGCCCGGGCTGCTCCCATCCGAGGCCTGCTGCCCCTGGGTGGCCTGGGCTGAGAGTCTGAGCCCGAACAAAGCTGGGGAGTGAAGAGCAACTGGAAGAAAGAGCCCTGATTAAAAAACACCTCTAATCACAGCTCTGCCTGGGAAGATTATAATTTTTCTAGAAGTACCATGAAAATTCTGAGCTTCCAACAATGTGAATCTGGTCTCCTGCTCATCGTTGAGATATGAGATGCTATACATGGAATCATCTAAGTTTCGGGTTGATGTTATTTTTTTTAAACTCCTCGATATTATGATCATTGGTATATGATTGTCCTCCAGTATGGGAGGCCAGGTTCTCCCGGGCTCCTCCTGCATCCTGGCGCTGAGCACCAAGGTGGTCAAACTGTGGCCGCCAACCCCAGGCATCTGAACTCTGTGCTGACACGCTAGCAATTTGTTCTGTAAAATATGGATTCAGTCGAAAGGCTGCACTCAAGGATCCAGAAGTCCACATGTGGCCCCAAGGCCGAAGGGTACCCCCCTGCCCCCCCCAGCCACTCGGAGTAGTTACGGTTGATGTCCCGGAAGGCAGCTTGTAGCCACAGCCCCTGCGACATCAGAAACTGGGAAAAGCCACTGGGCTTTGCTGTCCTCAGTAATTTTGTTCAAACATGACATTTAATTAGGGCTCGTTGCGACGGTGCAAAGAGCTCAGGCGCTGCTTCTGCCCCACGCCACGCACTGCCTGATTCTCCAGCTGCCGTCGGTGGACAAGCCGTCCCCTGCCCACCAGTCGCGTGGTTTGTCCTGGCTTCCCAGCTGCGCTCCTGAAGGGCTCTGGGCACTCTGGTCCCTTCTGAAAGGTCGTGAGTTGCTCGCTCTCTCTCAGACACGGGAGCAGACAGCCCTGCCGGCAAGGGGATCGGCCTGGGCTGGGCCTCGACGTGACGACGCTCGTGGGCAGTCTCGGAGGTGCTCAGGAACCAGGGTGGGGAGCGGGCCTCAGAAATACGTCCCGTGAGCACCCAGGACATGTAATTCCTCGTGGAACCATCATCACCACATGGAGGAAGGGGAGAGGAATAGCCTGGAACAAACCGGAAGGAATGGGCAAAGGAGACATCTGTCACCCACATGCAATCTAGTTATGGCAATGAACAAGATCCCTCGTGGCTGCTCTCTGAGAGGCTGGCCTCTGATTCTTTAGATTGGAGAACGCAGCTTATTATGAATAATGTTATTTTTGTTTGGAGTTTCATGTAACTTTATCAAACAAGAGTGTCATATAGTCAACCACAGATGAAAGTCACTGGTCTAAAGTCTAATAGGATCTAAAGTCTAATAGGATCAAAAAGATCAGCTGCAGAAACTTCAGTGAAAAGCAAAATATGAGCCATACAAACCTCTGAGCCCCTAGCTCAAAGTCGTGAATGGAGTGGACGGCTGGCTTGCCCACCTCAGAGTCCCGTCAGCTGCCAGAGGTGGAAACTCTGTCCCAAGAGGGTCCTGTGAAGTTGTAAAAGCCACCTGGACCCCCACCGGAAGCTCAGCCCCCAAGATCAAATTTGAAAAGAATATGTGATGACAGGAGAAATACTTATAATTTATATCAAGTGGAAAAATCAGAACAAAAAATTGCATACAGTGTGACCTCAACTGTGTAAAATATATATATGGAAGATAATAGCAAACAACACACTAAATATTGCCAGTGCTTTTGTAGATCACTAAGACTGTAAGTTTTTTCTTCCTTGGCAAGAACTTCATGATTGCATGAGTAGAGGAGTTGTTGCATGAGATTCTCCCCAATTTCTTTCCCTTCCAAAGAATGGAAATTGGGCCCAACACTCACCTATGCCTAACCATAAGTTATTGGATGTTATTGTTTTGGTCAAGACTGAAATAACCTTTCAAGTTAAAAAAAAAAAAAAGTAATTAAAAAATTAGCCAGGAGTGGTGGCGCTCACCTGTGGTCTGGCTATTCAGAAGACAGAGGTGGGAGAATCGCTTGAGCCCAGAGAGTTCAAAGTTGCAGTGAGTTACGAGAAAGCCACGGCATTCCAGCCTGGGCAACAGCCAAACCTGTCTTTAAAAGTAAAAAATAAAACGTTGAGTCGATTTCTATTAACATATTAAATAAAGAATAATATAATTAGTACTTGACTATGGCAAACAACTAAGGTTTAGGAAACTCTACATTAGAGTATTCATCTAAAAAAAACTTAAACCATATATACGGAATGTCTGATTTGGTGAGGGGTAATGCTTTTCACTCTTTGAAATTCTATCCCAAAAAGGGGTAGCCAAGAGAGGTGCCACAGAGAGGGCAGAGCCCCACAAAGAGCATGTGGGTGGCCAGCACAAGCCCCCAACCAGAAGGCAACACTGAGTGGCCTATGTTTGCCCCAGATGAATTCCACAGGGTCCTACTTAGAGCCTCCTCCTTGATCCCGTCTTCTTCCACCTCGGCTTGGATTGCTCACCCCTAAAGACTCCTTGGTAACAGGACACCTGAAGACCGCCAAGATCAAAGATGACAGTTTGGGCCAGGCACCATGGCTCATGCCTGTATAACCCCAGCACTTGGGAGGCCAAGGTGGGAGGATTGCTTGAGCCAGGGGGTTTGAGACTAGCCTGGGCAGCATGGTGAGACTCTGTCTCTAAAAAACAAAGATGATAGTTGGGATAGTACTATAATGGAATAGTAACTACAGTGCATCCTAACTATCTCTGAATCTCTTACTCCTCATCAAAAGCTTTTCCTAGCCGGGCGCGGGTGGCTCACGCCTGTAATCCTAGCACTCTGGGAGGCCAAGGCGGGCGATAGATCGAGATCAGGAGTTCGAACCAGCCTGAGCAAGAGGAGACCCTCTACTTATAATAGAAAGAAATTAATTGGCCAAACTAAATATATAGAAAAAATTAGCCGGGCATGGTGGCGCATGCCTGTAGTCCCAGCTACTCGGGAGGCTGAGGCAGGAGGATTGCTTGAGTCCAGGAGTTTGAGGTTGCTGTGAGCTAGGCTGACGCCACAGCACTCACTCTAGCCTGGGCAACAAAGTGAGACTCTGTCTCAAAAAAAAAAAAAAAAGCTTTTCCTGAAATATTTAACAGAAAATGACCAAAAAACCAAGAGAATAAAAAGGGAAACACCACTCATTGAATAATACAAACTATGTACCAAAAACCATTTTAAAACATTACACATTTTCTTTAATGCAGCCCTCACAACTAAGAGGTGATATCACAGTCTCCATTTCACAGATGAGAAAAAATGAGCCTCGTGGAATTAAATAACTCACCTGAGGTCACCCAGCTAGGAGGCAAGCAGAGATTCAAACCTGGTGAGTCTGACACCAAACCCCAGGGCCTTTGCACCAACCCCGCGCGCCTCTCTCTGCAAGACTTAATATGCACTTCAATAGCAACGGAGGGTAAGGGAGGAAAGGATAGGGGAGGAGCTGAGATTAATAGATTCCAGGTGGCAGCAACGTTTTTTGGCAAACTTTAGCATTGTGGAAACACAGGAGTTCGGAAAAAGAAAGCTAGAGACAGAGAAGAAAGGCGTGAAAAATAAAGCAGGGGCTCAGGACGGCGCTGTGGAATGAACCTCCTGGCTCCGGGCTCGCTGAGCCACTGCCTGCGGCTCCAGAATGGGTCCTTCTGGCCGGTTTGTGGCGAAGGTCCCACCGCACGTGAATAAACAGAATGAAGTCCTCCGCTCCGCCTCAGGCAACTCCGCGTTGGGCTGATCGCACCCTGAAGCCCCAGCCGCGGACCTCTTCCCCGCACCCTGTCCGGGTGCCATGCGCTGCCTCACGCGCAGCCCGGGGGCCTGTCCCGGCCACACACCCACAGATCGCGGGTCGCCCGCTCTGCGCGGCGCACAGAGGCCCAGGCGCACGAGGCCCAGGCGCACAGAGGCCCAGCGGCCAGAGGCCAGGCGCGCGAGCCCAGGCGCGCGAGGCCAGCGCGAGGCCCAGGCGCCCAGAGGGCCCAGGCGCACAGGAGGCCCAGGCGCGCGAGGCCCAGGCGCACAGAGGCCCAGGCGCGCGAGGCCCAGGCGCGCGAGGCCCGGGGCGTCCTGCGCTGGCGGCTGGCTGCGGGGAGGTCGGGCTTGGAGGTGTTCTCTCACCGGGTCCAGGCTCCTCGCTGCTGCACGCGACAGGGCTACGCACGCAAAGTTATTAGACACAAAAACCCAGGAAGCTTCCCGAAGTGCAATTATGTGGAAAAAGAAGTGAGAAAAAGTGAAAAAAAAACAACTCACCTGACTGTCCAGGTTTAAGACTTGGCTGCCGTGGAGAACAGTGGACCATGTACCGGCCGCTGCTTGGGGGGCGACAGAAGGGACCCCTGGTGGGAACTGCTTTGGGCGTCACACCCCAGGGCTGGAGTCGCGCGCCCTCCTTCCCAGAGGGTTCAGCTGCCTCTGGAAATGCTGGATGAGGGTCAGCGGAAACGGGCCACAGTGCCCTGCATTTATGCTGGCCTCCAGGTTTCCAGGCAGCTCATCCCGTTGGCTCCTACACTGATCCCCGAGGCAAGTGAGCCCGGTGTTATTGGCCTCATTTCACTAATGAGGAGACAAAAGTACCTGAGCCCCAAGGGCCTGTAAGTAACTAGTGACAGTACTAAGACTGGAACTAATATTAATAATACTCGAAGGGTGAATTCCCGTTACCAGTAACAGCAAACTCGGTAATTCAGACCAACCTCTATTCTGCTTTGGACAACTAGAAAAGCTGAAAACAGGTAAATTCCTAACCAGACAAATGGAAATTTCTTGGAATATATACATAAGAGGGATATTGCCAAGCCCTCTCTGTTACTTTGCCCAGCATATTTAAATTTTAGGGTTATTAATAGATTCAAAGTCAGTAATAAAATTATCCTGCCCTTCTTCTCAATAAATTTAAAATAATCATCCAGGCACAGTGGTGTACACCTGTAGTCCCGGCTACTCGGGAGACTGAGGCAGGAGGATCGCTTGAGCCCACGAGTTTGAGGCTGTAGTGAGCTATGATGACGCCACTGCACTCCAGCTTGGGCAACAGAGTAAGACCCTATATCCAAAAATAATAATAATTAAATGTAAAATAATAATAATTTATGATGACGATAATGATTCCTAAATGATAATCACTTTGCCTCAGGTGTGAGGATTGTCACTAAAGCATGCAAAGGTGAAATAAACTGAAAGAAAAATCCACACAGACTTTTTGGTAGATTATCTTTTGAGAAAGAAAAGGGATAAATCCAGTGGAATACATTGTCACTTTACTTTGTTGCTGTTGTTTATAAGCACTTGTTTTATGTTTTTAATAAAAAGGATGATTATTCAAAGTAAAAAACAAAAAACCTGCTTACAGACACCAGAGAGCTAACAAAATAATGAAAAACAGCCAGCTAGAGTCCAAAGGAAGAAGGAGGCCCAGAGAGCTGAGCTTATTCCTTGATCTCCTTTAGTCCCAGAGATATTTGCTATTCTGCAAGAGGTTGCAGAGAGGCTGAGTGGCACTTTTGAGAGTTGCACAGGGCTAACGGGTCAGGAATTGAATCTGAGGCCCACCAAGAGTAGGACTGGGACTTGCCTTGCACTGGGACTCCGAAGGGGTTCTTCCTACAAGTAAGAAGCAGACAGGCCCTGTAGGGTCTACAGCTCAGCTTCAAGCATTCTAAAGCCCTAAAGTTTAATTTACGTAATCCTGAGTTGTTGGTGACCCAGGAGCCCAGCAGAAGCAAACACAAATCTTCTTAGGAGGACAATATCATCATCTGACCTCAAATTAATTCTGCAAGCAATTTTACAAATGCAGTGTCCAGAACACAGTAAAAATAAGGCACAAATGATACAAAGAAGTATTTTTTAAGAGAAAAAAAGGAAGACACTAAAATAGGAAAATCAGCAAATGATAGAAACAATAAAAACAGATCCACAGAGGCTCTAAATATTGGAGTAATCAAAGACTTTAAAGTAACTCAAAGAAATAAATGAAATAAAAAATAAGACTGAGAATTTGGCAAAGAACCAAAAAGAACCATTCTAAAAGAATGGTTCTAAAGAACCATTCTAAAAACCAAATGAAAATGTTAAAACTAAAAAATACAATAACCAAAATTAAGAACTCAAAGGACAGTTTTAGTTTTAAAACATTGGCAAATGATTTTATGTCAGCAGGAGTTACCAGAATACAACAGGAGACAAAAAGATGGAAAATACAACTGATAGGGGAAGAGACATAAGAGACACAATGAGATCTAACATGTGCAATTAAGGGCCCAGGGTAAAGAGAGAAAACATGCAGAAGCAATATTTGAAGAGATAACAGTTGAGAATTTTCTAAAACTGATGAAGATATCATCATACCACAGATTCAAGAAGTCCCACAAAGCCCAGGCAAGATAAATAAAAAGAGACTCACACTAGGCGCATCATTTAAAAAGACTACTGAAGCCAGGTGCAGTGGTGTGTGCCTGTAATTCCAGCTACTTGGAAAGCCAAGGTAGGAGAATTGCTTGAGCCCAGAAGTTTGAGGCCAGCCTGGGCAACAGAACAAGATCCTAGCTCTAAAAAAAATAAAAATAAAAAAAATTGTTTTAAATAGAGACAAAGACTGCTGAAGCCAGGCATGGTCACATGTGCCTGTAATCCAAGCTAATCAGGAGGCTGAGGCAGGAGGATTGCTTGAGTCCAGGAGTTCGAGGTTGTAGTGTGCTATGAGCATGCCTATAAATAGCCACTGCACTCAAGCCTGGGCAATGTAGTGAGATCTCATCTCTAAAAAAACAAAAACAAAAACAAAAACAAACAAAAGACCTGCTGAAAACCAAAGATGAAAAGAAAATCTCAAGAACAGCTGAAGGGATGGGGCACTGGGGAGACAGGTCACTTTAAAAAAGAGTACAGATTAGACTGACAGCTGACCCTCCATCAGCAACAATGGAAGCTAAAGGATAATGACACTGTGTCTTCAATCTGTTGGAAGAATGCTTATCTCCTGATTCCAAGTCCAATTCTTTTTTACTGCAATATGCTGCCACCCAAGGTTTCATTTCTTGGTGGCTTTTAAAGCTGGACAAACCTGAGTTTGCATCCTAGCTGTCAGATGTTACATACCTGACTTCTGTCTTTGAAACACAGGTGGTAAAATTTAATACAACATTTATATAAGCATCTGGCACTTACCAGCTGCTCAGCAAAACTAAATCCCTGCTCTCACACTCTTTCCCTCTCTCCCTTCACTACATGGTAACCGGTGTCACGGATCATATGACCGATCAAATGGTCATATTGTCATTTTGGAGCTCTGGGTTTGCCACGGCCAAGTTCATGCTCTTAGCCTTCCGGAACACGGCTTATGCGATAACTCTAAGGTGGTCCAGTTCCTCATACCCCACTGCAGGAATCGCCCTCCCATGTGGACTGCAGGAGGTGGGGTGGCCGGAGCAGTGAGCTCTGGCGTATTGGGGCTGTAATTGAGTGTCCCAGACGGGAAGACGGAGAGAGGCCAAGAAGGAAGAGCCGTTTAGGAAGGCCCTTCAGGCCCTGATGCCCCTCAAATAACCCTCACTGATAAGTCTCCTTCCCTGTCTCTGTTTTTGTTCTCATGCATCTCTAAAGATCTGCACATACTTATGTTTTCACATACTTATGTCATGCACATACTTATGTTTTCTGGGAGAATGGTCGGATTTATCCCATCTCACCTTCCTAAACGGCTCTTCCTTCTTGGCCTCTCTCCGTCTTCCCTCCGGCTGGGACACTCAATTACAGCCCCATACGCCAGAGCTCACTGCTCCGGCCACCCCCACCTCCTGCAGTCACATGGGAGGCGATTCCTGCAGGTGGGGTATGAGGAACTGGACCACCTTAGAGTTATCGCATAAGCCGTGTTCCGGAAGGCTAAGACATGAACTGGCCGGTGCAACCCGAGCTCCAAAATGACAATATGACATTTGATCGTCATATGATCAGTGCACCCGTTACCATGTAGTGAAGCACCTACAAGGATCAGCATGGCGTTGGGCATGGTGGCTGCAGACACAAACATAGTGTCAGCCCCACCACATCCCAGTCCACTGAGGAACAACCATTTCCACAAGAACAAACAGAGTATGACGGAGCTAGAAAACTAACCTGAGCAAAGACAGAACCAGTCCCGTGGCACGTCCCTCCTTTCTCTACACTCTCCCTGCTGAATCCGCGACCATCAATGCATGGACTTCAAGACACGCCATCTTATACACTGAACGGTTCCGCCAAGATTA